CCCAGGAGTTGGAGGTTGCTGTGAGCTGTGATGCCATGGCACTCTACCCAGGGGGATAGCTTGAGGCTCCATCTCAAAAAAAAAAAAAGAATTAAGTTCTAAGACCACCAAACCCTGAACTCATAAGTGGGGTGTCTGCAGATTTATACACTTTAGTGAAAACAGGGTTAGCAGGGGTACCAGACAAAACCCTCAGGAATCCATAGGGACAGGAAATCTCCTCCCACTATTGGCATAGTCCAAAATAAAAGCCCATCAAACCAAAACTGCCTCCACATCATGGCCCTCCTGCCCACGGTACTTCATGGGAGAGTCCTCACCTTCTGGGCGAGCTCTGTGAAGATGTGGGCCAGCACAGAGAGCAGCTTCGCAGTGCTGCGGTGAGTTGCCAAGGACACGGTCAGGAAGAAGAGGAGGAGGTCCGAGTAGCTGGAGAGCATGGGCGCCAGGCGCACCAGCAGGCAGCAGGCCTGGCCAAAGGGCTGGGGGCGACAAGACACAACTGCTGCTCACTCTGCTCAGTGGGCACAGCTTTCCTCGGGGGTGAGAAAAACCTTCTGGAACCAATGGTCGTATAATATTGTAAATGTACTAAATGTCACTAAGGCCAAGTTGTATGTGTCTTCCCAACCTCCTCCCTACTCCAGCACACAACAGCTGACAGAAGTACACCTTAAATTCTTGGTTACTGAAATCTCATTTAGCTAACAATTTGCTTTTTAAATTAAGATGTTATAAATAAATTCTACTGCTGATTCAGAGTTGGGACTTAAGGTAATGATAGAGAATAACATACGATGTCCTATCAAGTAAGCTGCTTCTCTGGAAACTTATTACAGAGAGTACAACTCTTTCTACAGCTGACCTATTGTGGGAGGAAATCGTGTTATCAGAGTCTGGCCTTCAAGCCTCAGTTAACAGCAGCTACATCCATCATTAACATAATACTACTTAGAAGTATGTGATTAGAATATTAAATAGCCTGAAAACAATGAATATCCTGGATTGTTTGCACCTTAAACTTACAAATGGACCCCTGCAGCTAGCAAACCCTAAGGTCTTCAAAGCTTGTCACTGACATTCTCACAAGTAAATAGATTAATTTTTAGGGATTTTGGCATTGAGGCTGCTTTGGGACCCATCTAAGTGGGACCAGGGAAAGCCAACTCTGCCTTTGCTCAGCCCACTCCGCAGAGCAAGAAGCGGGTAAAGCAAAGTTGGCTTCCAGGTGTGTGTCTGTGGTGGGGGGAGGATGGTTACCGTGTGCTTTGCTGCTGTGCCGTCTTCACCACACGATTTCAGCCTCTCCAATAGCTCAGAAATGGCAGAAATTATTTTCTGCACGTGCAAAGTGCTCACATCAGCCCAGAAGTCATCCTCCAAGAGTTTTGTTAGATGTCCTGGTTGCAGTCTCTCAAAGCCTGCTGCATCTTTCATTCAAAGAAAATAATACCATCATGAAAAAACAGAAAATAAATCCTTGTATCTCTATTCACCCAGTTACCTATTTCTCCCTCTCTCTTCTTTTAATTGGGACAAGGTCTTGCTCGGTAGCCCAGGTTATAGTGCAGCTCATAGCAACCTCAAACACCGGCGCTCAAGGGATCCTCCCACCTCAGCTTCCCAAGTAGCTGAGACTGTAAGTGCCTGCCACAACACCTGGCTGGTATTTCTATTTTTTGCAGAGACAGGGTCTTGCTTTTGCTCAGGGTGGTCTCTAACTTCTGGCCTCAAGCAATCCTCTTGCCTCGGCCTCCCAGAGTGCTGGGATTGTAAGTGCAGACCACTGTGCCCAACGAACAGTCGCCTATTTCTTAACATTTGTTCTTAACTAGTTAGCCACAGAAATAAGTCATCAAACACAAAAATTAAATCAGGTGTGAGGCTAATTCTGCTGATTCCACACATACCATCCTCTTCTTGTGATCGTGCTTTGTCAGTGTTCTCTGCTTTTTTACTGTTTCTTTCTGCTAAATTCTGGATAGCACAGAGGATGGCTCGGATAGCAGTTTCCATTTGCTCTGAAAAATCTTCCACAAACCCTTCTTCCGACATTTGGTTTCCTAATGAATAACATGGCACATAACAAAGGACAGACAATTGCTCTGGTGCATCTGGAAATCGTCAACAATACGCATTGTTAATTTTAATAAATGGCCACCTGCCTTCGCCAGCCTGTGCTGGCCTTCTGCACCTGCTACTCAGCACACGACACACTGATGGTCCAAAGGCAAGGCATTCACACAAATGAGGCAAAAAAGTTAAGAGGTGTATATTCGAAATATACCTTTCTGGGTTAGAGTCCTACCCCAGTAAGTGTAGAAGAAAATAGAATGTGTCCTTAGGATAACTACACTTAAATCCACAAGATGAGGATTCTACACAGGGCTTTTACTCTTACTGAATGACACTCCTTACCTCCTTGGCTGTTTGAAGCAAATAGATGTGACTTCCAGGCAGTAAAGTCATTAACGGCTTTATTGATTTCTTGTCTTACATACCGCAGGCTTTCAACCAATGCTATTTGTGGATCTCTTTGCTCAACCTCTATCCCTGGCAGAATGAACAAGGATTCTAGGTCTTGCAAATGACCTGACACCTGGGACAGGCAACGCAGTGCAGAAGAACAACCTTCAAAATCTTTCCTGCAACAGGAATAAGACAATGCTGAAAAGAAGGGGCCACAAAACACACACCCCACACACTAAGCTCTCCCCAACCATCGAAATGTATGCGAGGCAAAACTCACTGTAGCTGAAGGCTTATAGCTAGACATATACCACAAAGGGCTATGCGAGTCTCCGAGTAACAGAGAGCTGAACCATGATTCTTCTAATAATTTTATCCCACTGCCAAATTTTGATGAGGACCCAAGCACACAGAGGAAGGGTAAAGACATGACACACTCACCAAGAATGAAAGAGAGTCTCACAAGACTGCTGCCTAATTCTGTCAATGTCAGCTTTTATCATTTTAGTATCTTCCAGCATTTCAGTTAACCTCCTAGCTGACTGCTGCCACAGCTGGTCCTGCTTCCGCATCTGGCAACCAGAGGGCAACTGACTTCCAGGTACCGGAGATAGGCAGCTCACACAAGAAGGTGCCAGGCAGGGCACTACTCCGGGAGCCTGCCCTATGGGGAGCTCCAGTCCTTCCAGGTGGGGAGCAGACAGCTGAACATGCGCCTGGGCACAGTTGTGGCCTGAAGCTGGCCCCATGCCAGGGCAGCACTGCAGGAGCCAGGAGAACTGCTCGAGCAGGACCTGGCTCTGCATGGCCAGATGCTGCAGCCGCTCTGTCCACTGCTGCATGCCGTCCTGAGGAGGAATGGCCACAGGGTAGGCCTGGGGCCCTGTCAGCCTGTTGTGAATCTCCTGCACACAGCCGAGGAGGTTCCTGTGCAGAGAAACCGTGGGGAGACACAGTGGCATGTTAAACCTTGCCACCACATTGTTTTGAATTCAGTGTGGGTCTGTAAAATATAGGCTCTTTCATGAGACCAAGCAGGAAGATACCCTAGATAAATAAGAAGTAGCTAAGATGCCTCCTCAAAAATACAGTCTGTCTCCATCCCTTAGTCTGTCAGGAGAAGCAGCGAGACTCCCTGCTTATCACTTGGCTCTCAGGGCCCTCTCACATCCAACACAGGCACACCATTGCAGGGACTGCAACTGTTAGTACCTATGAAGAGGCTGTGCTTTTCATGAACTCTTAAATGGAGCAGAAAACAGTTGCAAGTCAAAGTGCATCAATTCTGGAAACACAATGTCTCAGCCACTGTTTCCACTGAGAAGTGTCCACATACGGCTCAGCAAATTGCCCCTCTGAGACCCTCAAATCTAACCTGCACCAGGACATGGGGACAACCCGATGCCATGAACACAACCCTGTCAGCACACTTGGACTTTCAGCCACAAAGGTCTTATGTCTTTATTCCAGACCCAGGTACAGTTCACCCATGATGATTTTCACTGTCTGCCCTGACAGCCCACAGCCCCCATTCTCCAAGGATGTCTAATCAGAGCACACAAGGAGAAAGAGGACCAGAGGCATGTCACTAAAGGCCAAGGGCAGAGCCAAGAGAAATCCACCTGCACCTTTGTGCCCCACTGGCCTCAATTTCATACTTGACAGCAGGTCACATCCCCGTCTGCATCTGAAGCATGCCGCAAACCCAACTAGTCAGATGACCTACCTAAGGATGATCCACTGCTCGGTCAGGGTGGTCAGGGAGCACCGCTGTCGGGCGAGCATCTTCATCAAATGTGCCGTGAACCCCTTACACCGCTCAACGCTGCCCATGCCCATCTCCTGGCAGAGGGGAAGGAAAGCCGGGCTTACCTGCTGCCGACAGAGACCACCCACAGAGGACAACACAGAAGCCCCTCCCAGGGAGAGGCCCTGGCTGTGTAAGCCACGGTGGGATGTGCAGGCAGCTCCTTCATCTTCCAGGGCTGTGGTTCTCAAACTATGCTCCCATAGATCGACGTGCCATTGACAGGAACAATGTTTAACACCAAAAATGGATGTTAGTGGTCTTTTCTCAATTCACAAAGGGAAAAAAAGACCTGAAGATGGCGTTCTCAACTTGAAGTTATTTCACAATTTTTCTTATACATCTGGTCCTTCTAGCAAGTGTGTGTCATAACATTTACTATCAGCGAGGCATCATGGCTCACACAATTCTAGCACTCCCAAGGTGAGAGGATCACTTGAGGCCAAGAATTTGAGACCACCCCTGGCAAAACCTCTATTAAAAAATAGAAAAATGTGCTGTGTGAATGGTGTATACCTGTAGCCCCACTACTAGGAAGGCTCAGGCAGGAGGATCACCTGAGCCAAGAAATTTGAGGTTGATATGAACTATGAAAACCATAGCTCTCTAACCCAAGCAACAGAGCAAGACCCCATCTTTAAAAAAAAAAAAAAAAAAAATATATATATATATATATACACACACACATATATAATTAAGATGCACTATGATTTAGCACTCCATCTTTAAAAAAAAATACACAAATAAGATGCACTCTGATTTATATTTTAAGTTGAAAGATGTTCTGTAGAGAACTTAATCACTTTCACCAGTGAGTTATAATCAGTTGAAAAGGTCTGGGAACACTGCCCTGGGACTAATGGGAGCTCTCCCTGGGCCCTGCACCCCACAGTCTGTCATTCTACCTTGGCTGGAGCTGCTAGGGCTGCAGTGAGTCTGGCATGTCGTGCAAGGGAGCGATAGAAATACTTCTGGCACCCGTCCCATGAAGATGAGATTTCTGTAAGCAGCCTGGAAAAGATATCAGTACAATTTACTTAGTTAAAACTGCAATCTCTCATCCCAGATCCTGAAGACGCAGAAACTGCTACATCTGGCCACAACCAAAAGCCAACAGTCTGAGTAGACTTGCTTCCGTGAGGACTCCTTCAGGGAGGCACGCATTGGTCCTCTCCACACGGGTGTGCTATACACCCAGCACTGGATGTGTCACGGGAAAACAAACTATGACAGCAGTGTGGCTTCCTCAATGACATCTCTACCACCATGCTGGCAGTGGAGTCTGGAGCTCATAAATTCTGATGCTTTCTGGGGCCAGGTGGGTAACATGTTTCAGGACGGCCCATTATAAAATCATACACAGCAGTGACAGCTGACCCTGGGGAGCCATAGGGTTGCTTAGGACCAAGGTACACTGGACAGCATGTATCCCATAAAAGGAGGCTGCCTCATAAACAAGCAAACTAAAATTTAAGAAAAGAAAGAAAGAAGAGGGAGCCAGTGCGAAGCCACAGCCAACTGCTGACCAAATGGGAGTGTCAGCAGACTTGGCAAACTTTCCTGAAAGACTGAAAACCCAGGATGCTTGTGCAAAACTCTCCTGTGTTACAAGGTTGTGTTGAGGTCCTATTTAAAGCTCAGGGAGGGACACTGAGCAAACAAAACTCAAAAGTGTGCTGTACCCAGCTTGTGCAAATCTCATTTACAGCTAGGAGTCTTCACACAGAGCTAGTGGTGTCTCAAAGCTCTCAGATTCAAGAATGTATTATAAATGTTGTGATCCTAAGGTACTTAAGATACATTCCTAATCAGATGATAAGGAATGGATCATGAAGGTCGGATATACATGCAGTAGCTAAAACTGCGGCCGCTCTCTCCCAGATTACTACTTACATGTTTGAATCAAGTGAACAGACCTTGGGAAAATCAAAGGACAAAACAAGGAGGAGGAAAAGAATAAGAACGGGGAAGTGAAAACAAGGAGGAAGGAGAAAGGAAAAGAAAATCTACACCTGCACCGAATCCTCACTAGGTGCCAGAGCCTCAGCTGGGAACTTTCTCAAATGCTCTCTCGGTCCCGTCACTGACTCTGCACAGAGGTATTGCTATCCCCATTTTGGCAAATGAAGATTAAATGAACTACTCCTTTATAATAAAAAAAAAAACACACACAAACACAAACCAACCTTGAATTAGCCTCATGGGTGCTGCTGACTATGGACAGTGCGCTCCGCAGATCTAATGGGTGAAGATGAAGCATCTCTTGAGGGTTTTTTGAACGAACCCAGGCCAGACCTTTACGATATGACAGACCTAGGAAATAAACACATTCATTTAAGCAAAGAAACTGACTGGGCTGAGTATGGATGTGTCCCCGTTGCCCCTCTACTCAAAGCAAAGTCAGGCTTTTGACCTGGAACCTGTAAGAAATGCACTCTCTGCTTGGCGCCCCGTAGCACAGAGGTTACAGCACCGGCCACATGCCCTGAGGCTGGCAGGGTCAAACCCAACCTGGGCCAGCTAAACAATGACAATTGCAACAAAAAAATAGCTGGGCGTTGTGGTGGGCGCTTGTAGTCCCAATTACTTGGGAGGCTGAGGCAAGAGAATTGCTTAAGTCCAAGAGTTTGAGGTTGCTGTGACACACGGCTATCAAGGGTGACATGAAGAGACTCTCATCTCAAAAAACAAACAAACAAAAAAATGCACTCTCCCACCCACACAGGCCCATGCCTGCCCCTGACTAGACTCCCCAGGTGTGCCCATTCATGTGTGTAAAGCTCTGCTCTCTGTGCTGGGTTGGGAGGGTAGCTACTGTACAGCATGCGGTGATAAAAAGAAACAAAAAGGATTCTGAGAAACTTCATTACAAAAATAAAAATATTTGGGAATCATAAATAGTTGATCATAAGATTTAATGACATTCCAAAACGTTGCCTGTTGTCTACCACCTCAGCTGTCTCTGGAGTTTCCCCCAAATCACTCATGTTGTTTTCCTTGCTTCAAGTTGGTCATTATGCTTCCCTGGGTTTCCCCTGAGAGCCTCACCGGTTTCTGCGAGCTGCTTGAAGAGGTCTGCCAAGGCCCGCTGCTTCAGCAGGAGAATGTGCTTGGCTTCTGAGCGCTGCCTCTCCTTCTCTGCAGAAGACTCCACCTTTAAGCTCTGCAGCTCACTCACAGAAGAAATCACTTCACCTATAAGGGAAACACAGGGGAAATGTAAATACAAAAATCCTATTTATCCTTATTACCCTGGGTAGGTAAAGCCCTTAGCTTTTGGCAAATTCTATTAAGTGACTGAACTAAACTGATCAAGTTGCAAAGAAATAGAAAAAGAATACATGGATTTTGTATCTCTTGAAAAATAACCCAAATAGAAGTGGTCACTCTTTTTTATTTAGGAGTTTTATAATACATTAAGCAAAAAGCACTTAAATGAGCACCAACCATGTGCAGTGTGTTATACTAGGAATTTTTAATCACTTGAAGGAAATTTCTGATAAATACAGTACGTATTGGGTTCCTATACTGGAGCTGGTACTTGGTAAATGCTTTTAATCTAAGTAAGTTCAAAAGCACTTATATGGGCTCGGCGCCCGTAGCACAGTGGTTACAGCACCGGCCATTTACACCGAGGCTGGCAGGTTTAAACCCAGCCAAGGCCAGCTAAACAGCAATGACAACTGCAACAAAAAATAGCCAGGCATTGTGGCAGGCGCCTATAGTCCCAGCTACTGGGAGGCTGAGGCAAGAGAATCACTTAAGCCCAAGAGTTTGAGGTTGCTATGGGCTGTGATGCCACGTCACTCTACCAAGGGTAACATAGTGAGGCTGTCTCAAAAAAAAAAAAAAAAAAAACCCAAAAGCACTTATTTGTAACCCCATTTCAAGGACTTCAATAAAGAAAAGCTCACAGAGCGCTAGTGATCGTCCAAAGGCCATTCAGGTAATGAGTGGATAAAGTTCTGTCTACAGAGCCATGCTACCTTACTGAATACATGTAGGTATGTTTAACCCAATGGGCTGCTGACCTGCAGTGTCCTGGGCTGAATGCTGTGTGCTCCTCAGCCCCCACTCAGGTTAAAGTCCTAACCCCTAGTACTTCAGAATATGACGGTACTTGGAGATGGGGCCTTTAAAAAGTCATTGAGGTATAATGAGAGTGGGCCCTAATCTAGTATGGCCAAAGTTCTAAAAAAGAGGTTAGGCCTCAGAGAACCCACAGTGGAGAGCAACCATGTGGGAACACAGAGAGAAGGTGGCCACCTGCAAGGCAAGGAGAGAGGCCTCAGAAGAAAGCATCTCTGCTGACCTCTAGACCTCGGACCTTTAGGCTCTGAAGTGTGAGATAGTTCTGTTGTGTGAGTCACCCAGTGTGGTACTTTATCAAGGCAGCACTAATGGACAAACACAGATAGCCACTACATGAGTGTAGAGAACCACAAGTCATGCGGACGCTGCAGGAGACCAGGGGCAGAGCAGGAAAAGCTTTTGGTCACACAGGTGTATCCCCTTTTCAGGAGATGTGCACAAACCTGCATTTCATTCAACTTTGTCCTCAGGCTCAGAGGCAGGTCACCTTGAACAACAGATAGTAGGCTACCATGCTGACAAGTTTCAAAAGAAAGAGCTCAACTGCTCTGAGAATCACTAGGAAGCTGCAATCAGCAGGGGAGGGTGTGGAGGAAGAAGGGCCCAGGTGTCAGGCTTTAGGGCTCCTCTGCAGCCACTGCTCTGAAAGGCCCCAGCCCTCAGGCTCTGGAGCGCCCTCTGCAGCCACTGCTCTGAAGGGCCCCAG